TTAAAGAACAAACATTTTTTTCTCATAGTTCTGGAGGCTGGAAAGTCCAATATCAAGGCACCAGCAGACATGGTATCTGTTGAGGGCCTGGTTTCTAGATGGCCTTCTTCTCACTATGTCCTCACATGGTAAAGAAGACAAGAGAGCTGTTGAGTCTTTTTTATAAGACCACTAATCCCATTTATAAAGGTTCCATTCTCATGACCTAATAACCTCTCAAAGGCCCCACTTCCTAATCCATCACCTTTAGAGTTCAGATTTCAAGATATGATTTTTAAGAGGACACAAACATTTCAGATCAAGTATGAACGCAGGAAAAAATATGACCCATAAAATATGTTTCAATAAATTTCATTTTTATAGTTCATAAAAGGAGACCTAAAAGCAAGAACTTTTTCGAAAGAGAAGATTTTGTAATACTCAATTCAACAGGAGAAGTAATAATCCTCAATTTGTATATGTCTAATAATATAGCTTCATATTGTATAGGCAGTACTTCCTTTGCATGGTACCATGTTAGCTGAAACATGCATAACTGAACCATGTTTTTGTTTTCCAAGACTCCTTAGTGGGTGAGTATAATTTGACAGAACTAAAAAATATAAAGCAAATTTGACAGAACTAAAATGAAAAATACTCAAGTTTGCAAATGTAGTTGAAGATTTTAATACACGTCTCTAAGTCACTGAAAGAATAACCAAAATAATAATAATAATAATAATAATAGTAATAGAGGACAAAGAAAATTTGAACAACATGATTAACTAATTCAACCTAATTGATGTGTGTAGTACATTATACCCAATACCTGCAGACTACACATTATTTTCTAAGTGTACCTGGAATATTTACTGAAGTTGTACAATTGTTGACCCCTAAAACATGTTTCAGTAATTTCCAGAACATTAAAATAATGCACAATATATTGTGTTAACCACAGGATAATGTAGCAAGATTATCAAAGATAAATAGGAAACCTCCTAACTACTTAGTAATTAAACACTCTACTTCTGAATAACTTATATGTCAAAGAAATCAGTATTGAAATTAGAATATATTTTTAATTATACTGGAAATATGATAGAGTAAAATTCGTGGACAGTAGCTAAAGCTGGGCTTAGAGGAAAATTTATACATTTTTATTGAATTTGTTAAAAAGTGAAGAAAAGCTGAAAATCAATGATCTTAGTGTAAAGTTTGAAATATAATGAATTAAACTCAAAGAAAGTAAAAGATAGATAATGATAAAGATGTGATGGTAAATTTTATGTGTTAACACAATTGAGTCATGGGGTAACCAGAGATTTGGTCAAATATTATTCTGAATGTTTCTGTGATGGTGTTTTTGAATGAGCTTAACATTTAAATTAGTCCAATAAAGCACATGGCCTCCCAAATGTGGGTGAGCCTCCTATCAGTTGCCTGAATAAAACAAGACAGCTGACCTTCCTCTATGGCAGTGGTTCTCAACCTTCTGACCCTTTAAATACAGTTCCTCATGTTGTGACCCAACCATAAAGTTTTTGTTGCTACTTCATAACTGTAATGTTGCTGCTGTTATGAATTGTAATATAAATATCTGATATGCAGGATGGTCTTAGGCGACCCCTGTGAAAGGGTCGTTCGACCGCCAAAGGGGTCGCGACCCACAGGTTGAGAACTGCTGCTCTATGGGAAGAGAATTCCTCCTGCCTTATTGCTTTCCAACTGGGACATCAGCTTTTTTCCTGCCTTCATACTTAATCTGAAACATCAGCTCTTCCTGGATCTCAAGCCTGCTGGCCTTCAGGTTGGAATTACACCTTCAGTTCTCCTGGTTCTTCAGACTCAGATGGAACTATACCACTGGCTTTCTGGGTCTCCAGTTTGCCAGCTTACCCTGCAGATCTTGGTACTTGTCAGCCTCTATAATCATGTAAGCCAGTTCCTTATAATATCTCTTTCTGTATATACATCCTACAGGTTCTATTTCTCTGGAGAACTCTGACTGATACAAAATATGAGAACAGATATTAAAATAAATAGAAAAAAAATGAAGTACATTAGTAACATCAAAAGTTGATTTTGTGAAAATACTAATAAAATTGATGCATCTCTGGCAAGCTGATCTAGAATTGAAGAAAAAAAGTACAAAGAACACAACCAATTTGCATTCATCTCAGAAACACAAAGGTGTTTTAACTTTTTTCATAGTCAATATCATATCCACATTAACAGAAATAAGGAGAAAATGTATTACAATAAAAGGAAGCATTTTAGTTCAACTTCCCTTCACGATAAATAAAAATCTCTTGTAACATTAGGAAAAGAAAAGTAATTAATATAAACTTCACTTATTTACCCAAAACTATGAAAATATCCTCCTTAATGGTGAGTTAATGGAATGTTTTCCTCCTGTAATAACAAATGATATAAAGATGCTGATTATATACATCTTTTATTTAACATTGTGCAGCTACTGACAATATTAGTTGTTGAAGAAGGTGAGAAGGAATTGAAGCTCTCATATGCAGCTTTTGGAAATGAAAACTGTTATAATTAATTTGGAAAACTGCTTGGCACTATTAATTAAAGTTAAATATAGTCTTACCCCATGAGTAAATATGGATAAGTATATATCTGACAGAAATGCATATATGTGTTCACCAAAAGGCATTTACAAGTTTGTTCATAACAACATTTACATTACCTGTAAAATGAATAAATTGTGGCGATAGTAGTTACCTTTAGAGAAAGAGGATGAGGATATTGACTGGGTTAGGGTGTGAAATAGGCTCCTGAATGTCTCGTATTGTTTTTCTTCTATTTCTTGTTTTTCCAAGACTTGGAAAAACCATAGCGGTCACCATAATGGTTGCCATTAAAAAAAGTGGTCTTATAAAAAAGACCACTTTTTATAAGACCACTAATCCCATTTATAAAGGTTCCATTCTCATGACCTAATAACCTCCCAAAGGCCCCACTTCCTAATCCATCACCTTTAGAGTTCAGATTTCAAGATATGATTTTTAAGAGGACACAAACATTTCAGATCAAGTATGAACACAGGAAAAAATATGACCCATAAAATATGTTTTATAAAACCACTTTTTTAATGGCGACCATTATGTTTCTTGACTTGGTAGTATTTTCTTAAGTATGTTCACTTCATAATAATTTATTAAAGATACATCTATAACTTGTGTACTTTTCTCTGTACATCAATAAAAATATTTATTAAAATACTAGAGGCCCGGTGCATGGATTTGTGCACCAGTGGGGTCCCTCGGCCTGGCCAGTGCCCTCTTGCCATCCAGGACCCCTCGGGGGATGTCAAATAGCTGGTTTTGTTCTGAAATTCACTGACACCATTATCCAAGGTTAGCACCACAGTAAGTAGGCTTTGATGCTTGTTCCAGTTCTCATTTAAATGTGTACCCTGACTGATGGCATTCTGTGACAATACATCTATTATTCAATAGCTAAAAGAAAAGCCAGAACTCAGAACATGCAGATAAAGCACATGAAAAGGCCATGTTACTTGAGCTGTCTCAGTTTCAGCGTGGCGATGTGAGCAGAATTTACAGCATCAACTTGAGATTTATGTCCCTAAAATACTATGATTAACATTAAATGTAAACTCTATCTCTAAACATTGCCAAATGTCACTTGGGGGTGGGGGCACAAATCTCTTCCCATCCTTCCTCCTCCCCACTTCCCTCTGAGATTCATCAGTCTGTTCCATGTTTCCATGCCTGTGCAATGAGTGCCTATGCTTAAATATGTCACTTGGGGGTGGGGGCACAAATCACCCCCAGCTGAGAACCACAGACTTACTTATAGCCTATTTATACATATGAACAGAAAAAGTATTTTATTAAAAGTACATCATACTTTATAAGATATGC